CCTATCTCTCCCTCTTTTTCCCTCTCTCTCTTTCTTTTGAAAAACTTACCCTGTTCAGTAAAATTTCCCCCCTGATTATGGACATGCCTGGGGCAAGGAAACTGTAGTCCAAATGACCCATTTTGTACCTAGAAGGTGTTGCACTCAAGCAAAACGAACAGTCACTCGTTTGTTCCACAAAAATAACATAATATTAGGGAGACCTTGAGGCCCAAGCTTATTTCAGACTGCGCAGATTGTAATAACAAGATCCGAGATCAACGGCATACTTTCGTCTCCCCTTAGAACGAGAAGACGGAGAAGAAGAAGAAAAGTTTGACATTATGACAACAAACATCGCTCCCGACTCCCGACAATAGAAACAGCAAGGCCGATCTGTCACTGCGTTGTAGTTTACGACACGCTTGCAGTGATAACAGCCACATTTCAACAGGAACAGATCAGGATGCGATATAAAGTTATCAGGATACGATATAAAGTTGCAGTGAAAGGAAACACAAAAAGAAAAGAAAAAACCCCACGCCTAGACACCCACCAACCATCACCCACCTCCCTAAAGACGAGTCTGGTAATCTAGATCACACATACCCTGAAGAATAAAGAAATCTGCTTTTAAGTTGAAGTTTCATTTATAATTATTCTGTCCCAACCTCTATAGCTTTCCTAATATATGGCAGACAAAAAATAAGAATGTAGGCGTTTTTACGAGCTCAACGAACCAATAAATTAGATCACCAAGAAGCTAGGCGGGTGGCGTCGGTGGCCTAGTGGTTATATTACCGGACCCGTAATCGTGAGATTGCGGGTTCGGGGGTTCGAGCCTCAGCTCGGTCCCACGTGAGTCCTTGCAAAAGACACTTTACACGAATGTCCCATTTGGCTCGGTCCTTTCGGAAATGGACGTTAAACTCGAAGGTTCTGCCTCTTAAATAACTTACTTGTGATGACAGGGACGTTAAACATATTAAATAAATCAATAATAAGAAGGTGAGCATTGGCCCTGCTTGAGAGGACAAGCCGGACTCGAGAGAGATACAACCCTGCAGATTAAGCCCGAGAGAGATACACCATCCCTGCAGAAGACCGTATTACTTAATAAAAATGTCTCTCCATGTGGGAATAACAAGTGGGTCTCCTGCGTGCGACAGCAAAGCGCCTAACCTCTGCACCGCAGACGCCGGCTCAGTGCATTAATAACATGACGAAGAGAGAAATAAAAGAGAAGATCAAAGGAGTAAAACCCGTCGGAAGTACCTCCAGCCGTCAGCCTAACAAGGCACTTTTTGGGGTTGGGGGGGGGGG